CACTGGTAGAGAGGCTTATTGGGTGCAGAAACTTTACAGCAACGGGCTTCATTATGTCATTTCCATGCATGTAATTTAATTTGATCATATACACCCCAGTTGCTTGTCTTGCAGCTGAGACAAAACACCTGAGGAAAGCAACTTGAGGAAAGTTTTATTTGGAGTCACGGTTCCAGGAGGTACAGAGCATGGCAGCAGGAATAGTACAGTGGCAAAAACAGCACGTTGCTGTTCCACACTCAGGAAAAAAAACGTGAATGCTTGTGTTTGGCTTGTTTTCTTAACCTACCAGTGGCTGTGCCATTGCAGAAAATAACTCTTCCTCTGGAAGCAGCAAGGCTGTTAAGTCCCTCTCCCCTTGTGGCAGAAGGTGGACAAGCCTGGTCCTGTGCAGGTCTTGTCACAGCTGTTGAGGGTCCTGGATGGTGTCTTTAAACACCTCACCCCTTCTCATAGCTCTTGGGGTCTTTTCCTGCCCCCTCTTTTGAGCCTTTGAAGGGCATGAATTAGGGCTGAGCAGTGGTCACTTAGTCTCAGCACTTAATCCAGTTAGGAGTTCCTGCAGCAGCTGCCACCCATTGCAAAAAGATGTTTCTCTGGCCAAAACTGGCAGCACTAATCAGACTGCTGGATTCAGAGACTGTGAGTCTCTCAGCATTCTACAGCTTTATTACACTATTTTTGTGTGTAATCTGTGTGTGTGTGTATGAGTATACACACACAGGTACCCGAACAATTGTGTGCACATGAAGGCCAGAAGAAGACACTGGGTGGTATGCTGGCTAGACACTTGATTTTTAATATACTTCTATATGTGAATTGTTTTGCCTTTATGCTGTTCTGAGAAGGCTACTCACTAAGAAATCCACCAGGAACTGAAGAGCTGGCTTAGCAGTTTAGATGCTGACTTACTGCTCTTGCAGAGGACCACAGTTTGGTTGCTAGCACTCAGGTAGGTCAGGTAGGGCAACCCATGACTGCCTGTAACTCCATCTTCATGGGATCTAGTACCCTCTTCTGGACTCCATGGACAACTGCACATGTATGGCAAACACACACAAATAAAAATAAAATATAAAACTTTTGTTTGTTTGTTTTTTTTTTTCCAGACAGAGTTTCTCAGTAGCTATGGAGCCAGACCTGGAACTCACTCTGTAGACCAGGCTGGCCTTGAACTCACAGAAATCCACCTGCCTCTGCCTCCTGAGTGCTGGGATCAAAGGTGTGTGCCACCACTACCTGACATTGCTCTTCTTTTCCAAATGATCACCTCTGACTGAGAAGAGATGCAATCTCAATGTGGTTTTGGTTTGTATTTCTTTCTTTCTTTTTTTTTTTTTTTTTTTTTTTTTGAGACAGGGTTTTTCTGTGTAACCTTGGCTGTCCTGGAACTCCAAACTCCAAAGATCCCTCTGCCTCTGCCTCACCACCAACCCCTAACTGGCTTGCATTTCCTCAATGACTAATGTACTTCCCATTTTTTAACTCTTGCTAGTGTGTCCTCTGCTTTAGAAGTTCTTGCAACTCCACAGTACACAGCCCACAGGACATGGCTGGGCACATTGTGTCCTCACTGAGGAAGTAGAGAGTATCCAATGCTTGTGTCAAATAACCAATTCAGAAAATGCATAGTAAGAAGCCAGGCTATTGCTGAATAAACCTGACCATGGGCTCTTAGATCTTGGGAACCCTTTTTGCAAGTGTGAAAGTTTTAACTCAAGACAGAAAACCTATTGAAGATTGTAGCAGAGCATGATGGGCAATTCTGGTGGGAACTTAGAAAAACAGGAGTACTGAATGAAAGTTAGACAGAGATTTGTGCCCAGTCTTATTGTTTCTTGTTATTGATACCCTTCTTCAATTGATACCCTTGGAAGGCCTGCTCTTTTCTGAGGGGAAACAGAGGAGTGGATCTAAGGGAAAAGAGAGGTGTAGGGTCTTCTGGAGAAAGCTACACCCCAGTGCCTGGCATCCATATACTCAAAAAATTTTCTGGTGGAAGTTCTATCCCAAGGCCCCTTCCCCATCTCCAAACCCTGCTACATCTCAGAAAGCCCATCAAATAATAACCCTGCCCCCGGAGATGCTCAAGACCACTCCCATAGGTTATTTAAACTGCCCCCCCCCAGAAAACAGACATGGTTTTCCCATCTCTCTTTTCTGTCTCCTTTCTAGGGGGCTGGAAACTCTTCTGAGACCATTTTATCCATTAAACAACGGCTTTCCTCTAATTTGGTTTGATTTGGTCTGATTTGCATTGCTGCATCAGCAGAAAGGCTTATCAGGTGCAGAAACTTTTCACGGAGGGAAACTGCAGTTGGAATATATTGGTTTTCTTTGTTTTGGGTTTTGTTATTTTTGTTTGGTTTTTCGAGACAGGGTTTCTCTGTGTAGCCCTGGCTATCCTAGAACTGGCTCTGTAGACGAGACTGGCCTTGAACTCAGAGTGAGTTCCAGGACAGCCAGGACTGTTTCAGAGAAACCCTGTCTTGAACACCCCCCCCCAAAAAAAAATGATACAACTTCTTATATATGGCTTTCATCAGGGAAGATGGGACAAAGTTAGCAGGAAGCTAATCAAGCAATGTTACACAAAGGGACAAAGCTATCTCAAATGCATTACAGAGGATACCAAAGCCTTGAGACTTATAACCATAGCACTTAGTACAAGAAGAGTTGAATTCTCAGGATGAAGTCTCGGCTGCCCCAGCCATTACTGGCCTTGCCAAACATTTTTCTGCTTCCAGGCAAGGAACTACATTCCTTCTCCATACAACATGGATGTAGGGAATGTCTTGGACCAGCCTAGCATAACTGTACTGCAAGAATTTGACACCAACCTAGGCAACATAACAGGACTCCTAGTTCCAACAAAGAAATCCTGTTGTTCAAAACATGGATGAACTTGGAGGACATTATTCTAACTGGCCAAGGTGCAACATAAAGATGAGAGCTCATAATATATGCCCCTGTATTTGAAATTTGCTGAAATTCTATAAACTGAATACAATGACTTCACATTTTTGTGGGTACAAAGACAAAAACAAGCAAGAGTTAAAAGAACGGAGGAAGACATATTACCTACACCAGGCAAAGGAGCAGGAGTTATTTCCAAAGCAATGCCCTCCTGGAACAAAGGCACTTTGGAGGTTTTATCCGGAAACCTACACAGGCTCTCACAGGGGTTGGTGCATTCCTGAGCATGCTCTGTTAGTTCCAGGTCATGGAGCACATGTGTAAAAGATTATAGTAATGGGGCAGGAATGCCTCTGGCCTAGCTCAGCTGGATGTATAACTTTTCCTGAAAATAGAAGAAAAGCCATGTTTGCAGGTGCATTAAGATGAATGCCTGCCTTGCTTACTGACTAACACTTTAAAATTAAATTTTATGTATTTTGTGTTTTGCCTACAAGTATGTATGTGCACCACATGTGTGCCTTGTACCTTCAAGTCACAGAGAATTGAATTCCTTGTAATTACACAAAGTTGTAAGACATCATGAGGGTGCTGGGAACTGAATCTTGGTCCTTTTAGGAGCAACAAGAGCTCTTACCTGAGCCATAGTCCAAAGCTCTTACTAAATCTTTAGTGATAAAAAAAAAATATTTGTGAATGTATGCACAAGGGCCTGTGATCACATCCAAGCATCACAGAGGTCAGATGCAGTGGTGCATACTTGCAAACCCAGAAACCTCAGTTTGGGCCAGAAAGATGTCTCAGCTGGTATAACCACTTGCCCTAAAGACCCAAGGTTTGATCTTCAAAACCCACAGTACAAGAAGTTGCTCCCGAAAATTGTCCTTTGACCTCTATGACTGCATGCACACTGTCCTGCCTGCCCCCTCCATAATAAATGTAAAAACATTTTTTAACCTGTTTAAAAATGTACTTAAAAATAAATTATATGATCCACAATTCCTGTTTTAAGTATATACCTGAAAGGACTGAAAGCAGTTAGTCCAACAGATATTTATATCCCATGTCCAGGTAGGTTAGCTTTGCCAACTGCCAAAAGAGGAACATGAGAAACATAAAATAATCCTATTTAAATACCTTGGGCTATTCTGATGGAGGTCAGAATCCTTATAAGTTATCTTATAAAGGCATGTTCACAATTCCAGGAACTGTAGAGTGTAGTACAATCTTAATAGCTCTCTGGCCACAAAGAAACTCAAGAGAACTGAATTCTCAAGAAAGGAGGCCTTTTCAAGTGGCATTGCTTGCTTGTTCAGAAGCTTGGACTGTGTTGTGCAGAGTTGTCTGCATACCTTTAGCCACTAGCAACCCTGGGTGCAAATGAGCAGACTTCCCTACAAGATGTTTTGCTGTGGATGAGCTCCAGGAATATGATTGGCTTCTACCAGAGGAAATCAACAGTGCCCACCTCTATTAAGTGGGCAAAAGGAAAGAAAATTTGAATGACAATGACACCCACTGTCCAAGAGGTTGAAATTTTATTTACCTAAAGAATAAAATCTACATATAGGTGTTTTTTTTTATCTATTTTTTAACATATTTTTTATTTACTCTGACAATTATATACTTGTATATAATGTGTATGGGTCCTCCCTCGAGCCTAACGCCTACTCCTCCCTTCCATCTTTTCACAGCTACAACTGTTGTTTACATTCTACAGAAACAAAACTTAATCTAAACAGAATCCTAAGATTAAAAAAATAAACTTGTCACGCAGTGGTGGTACTCGCCATTAATCCCAGCACTCAGGAGGTAAAAGCAGATGGATCTGAGTTCAAGGTCAGCCTAGTCTATATATTGAGTTCCAGGACAGCCAGAGATATGCAGTGAAACCCTGTCTCAAAAATGAAATAATTTTAAAAATAAATTAAAGGAGAGCATCTGGGGGTTGAAGGAGGATGGAATGTATGTGTGTGTGTGTGTGTGTGTGTGTGTGTGCCAGAGAGCTCTTTCTAAACCTCCTACTTGCTTAAGTTTGGCCAAATGGGGCACTGGGTCTCTGGATGATTGTCACTCCCCTACATCTAAGAGCTGATCGGGCCGATATGGAATAAGTGGCCATCTAATCGTATACCTAGGCTCTGTACAGTTGTGTAAAAGCTTGAGGGACCCAGAGGCTGCAACACTCTGGGGAACATGATGAGGAGCCTCTAAGAAGATCAAAGACAGTACCCGCATTATAAAGTCACCGGGGCTGTTGATGGCTAACAAGGTCCTGATGCTCTTTCAGTTGACAGGCTGGCTGTGCTTTCCTTTTTACCTGGGGCAGTATGCCACCTGGCAGGACCTACAAGACTGACCTATCTGGTCTATAGAAATTAAAAGTATTGATATGTCGGCTAGTCTAGGGGGTGGGGCCACAATCTTAAAGCTAGGGCCAAACCACAACTCACATTTACAAACTTTTCTCCTGGATACAGGAAGTTGTAGAAACCCACTCATGGGGTCCTTGTTCTTAAGTGTTAAGGATTTCCCAGAAGCTTGTTAAGACTCCTGGACACCACCCAAGTTAGCCCACATGCTGCTCCCAAAACTCCTGCATTGCAGGCTAGTCCCTGCACAGCCTTGGGGAGCCTGTGGGTATGTTTTGTTTTGATAGGACCCCTTTCCTGCTGAGCAGTATACATAGCTGTTGGCAGCCCCTTGCTGCCCATCTAGCCCAAGAGATATTGGTGCTCCCACTGCTCCTTCCAGAGGTGCAGGCTGCATCTGAGAGCCTGCTGCATCACCACTCCTTGAACCGAATTGGTCCTGATGTCTTGAGAGAAGGAAGGGCACCTGCTGCCCTAAGTCTCCATGACTCTGGTGTACCGTGTGGCATTCGGCAAGGGACGTCTCCTGGTAGCTCTGAGGCTGCTGCAGTTGTTGTTGACCTCCCCAATTATTTTGCTGCTGTTGTGGGCATAACCAGGAATGGTTGCCATCCATCTGCCCCTGCCCACTAGGAACATAGCCAATGGCAGAGGATGTCTCAAGCCAGTTACACAGATCATACAGCTCCCACACAGCCGGAGGAATGAAGATTGCTGGTCCCAAGTTGAAAGAAGATCCACTTCCACCAGCACCTTGATAGCACATGGTGCCACTTGATCTCATTCTAATGCATTGGACCATGGAGTCCCCTAAATCAACCTGTTCACCAGAAGCTTCCTGGGTCTCCACAGAATAGACTTGCCCAGTGCTGTAACAGGTAGACTGAACCTGGGTATCAAGATGGCCCGTAAGCCTTTTGTCTTGGCTCTTGGATGTCCTCCTAGTGTCATCATTTTTGTCTCTCAATTTTGAAGGTAGTCTGGATCTTCTATTCTGAAACCAGTTCTTAAGAGAAAAAGGAAACTGTTAACCAAATCTGTGTCCCACACATAGTGCATTTTCTTTTCCTTCCTTTTTTCCCCCTTTGTTTTGAGACAGGTCTCTCTATTTGATAGCTATTTGTCTGTCCTTGAACTCACTTTGCAGACCAGGATGGCCTCAAACTCAAGAGATCCACCTACAGAATACTGGGAGTAATGTGTGCCACCATGCCAAGTGCCGAAGTCATTTTCACTGGAACTTTCACAGAATGTGAAAGTTATTATCTTGCTTATTATCTTGCTTCCTGACCTTGAAAAGACAGAGGAAATGGAAGGCAGCCTCTCCTAGGCCTGCATGTTATTATGGAGGTCGTGAATTGTATAGCCCTCCCCCCTCCCCATTTCCATGTTTAAAAATGGAAGCCTATTCCAGCCAACCCTGTTGTAGACGCTGCATATAGCTAGAACTGGAAGTGTCCCTTAACACTTCCTATATACTTCATCAAGCTGCCCCCAACCAAGATACAGCATATTACAATCTATATTCTTATGGGTGACACAAAACCATGCTTTGGTAGGCATTTTATGTGGTCCTAAGCACATCTGGTCTCACTTTTAGCCTCCTTAAATTAGTAACTATATATGAAAATCATGGTCCAAAGCTTTTTTGGGGGGGGGTTGTAGAAATGATGAAATGTTTTTAAAGATGGGAGCCAGGCATGAGGGCACACACTTTTAATTCCAGCACTTGGGAAGCAGATGCAGGAGGCTTTCTCTGTGAGTTTAAGGTCAACCTGGCCTACATAGTGAGTTCTGGGATGACTAAGGTTACACAGTGAGATCCTGTCTCAAAATAAATAAATATGGGCTTGATAATACACTCATAATATTAGCACTTAGAAAGCTGAAGGCAGGAAGATTCCGAGTTTAAAGCTACTAGTAGCTTGGTAAACGATCATGTTGTCAAGCTGCCTTCTAAATACTTATCCTTTAAAATCATATTTGTGCTGCTTTCAACCTTGGTCAAAGATACTTCTTTTTGCACTGGACAGTAAGTAGTTAATGCAGAGACTTATACTTAGTCAAGGTACAGTGTGCTTATAAGTGAAAAAAATCTGCCTTCCATGAGACATCTACAGCAACACAAACCCCTGCAAAAACAAGGGGTAAAAAAAAAAATGTAAAAGCAAGCCTGAGAGAGTGTGCTGTGAGTGCTGTCATCAAACTGCACTTAGGAACTCACACTTCAAAGTAGATCTGATTATCAATAATAACCACACAGCAGACTTGCATAAGATCAAGCCAGTCACCTGTCCAGCATGTGGCCTTTGTATGAAAAGAACTCCATCTTACACTTATTTCATTTTCAGGGCAATCCTTTCTCCCCTTCCCTGGTCATGTACCCGCTTCTCAGCAGACCATCTGCTCCACCTTTAAAATGGTCAATATTTTTGATACTAAAAATCATTACCAAGAAATCTTCCTACTTTGTCCTTGACACAGCAAACAACAGCATGAAACCATCACAGTCCCTGCCCTGGGTAATGACAATAACTTACTCTGTAGACCAGGCTAGCTAGCCTCAATTCAGAGATCCACCTGCCTCTCACAGCAACCAAGTCAGTGTGGGGACTAAAGGCATGCACCACCATGCCTGGCCTACATTTTTTATCATATGTTATATGGCTGCTTTGCCTGCATGTATATCTATGTAACAAGCATGTGAAGTGCCTCTAAAGGCCAGAAGAGGGTGTCAAAGCCCCTAAAAGTAGAGTTACAGAGGCATGAGCTGCCAAGAGGGTATCGGGAATCTCAAGTCCTTAAACTGCTTCTAAATTTTCCTCATAATGGGTTATTTTCTGTATAAGCTGTGTCAAATTTAAAGAAGGAAGAAAATACATGTTAACACTGCCCCACGCCATGATGTGTGAGCTTTCCTATGATTCTTTGCTGCCGCTTTTCAAATGGCCCACAAAAGGGCGTCCTCTCAGAAAGCTTCAGAGATCTGGCTTACTTCAATCACACACACTTGGCACCCGAACTTCTGGGCCAGGTTATGCTTGATTACATAATTTGGATAAGGATTCTTCTCAAATAGTTGCTGAAGGATCTTCAGGTCATTTCGGGTAAATTTATGTCGTGGTTTTATCTTTCCTCTTCCCCGCCCTGCTCTCGTTTTACTGCAGTTCTCATCTTTATCTGCAAAGCCAGGAAAAGGTGGAAACAGAAATTCAGTGAGCATCAATAGTACCCACAGAAACGTAGTGAACATCAATGGCACCCACAGAAATGCAACGAACATTGAGTATCACCCACAGAAATGCAATGACTGACTTATTCATAAAAACCTTTTCTTTTTCTGGTTTTTTGAGGCAGAGTTTCTCTGTGTAGCACCCCTGGTTATCCTGTGTAGGGCCAGGCATGGACTACAGAGGCACCTTGAGCAAGCCTGAAGCTGCTGCCTGGTACTCTTCCTGCTTTGCTAACACACATCTGCTGGGGAGGAGCTAAGCTGACAACTTGTACTCTTGACCCTGCTGTTTTCCACTGTGCTGTGAGTCAGTGTGTAAGCCCACCCCGTCCCCTCAACAAATGGCATCTGACATTGCTGTTGAATGAATGGCTGGCTTTCTTGTCTCTAAATCTCCAGGCTTTTGTCCAATTAGTGGAACAGATTGTAGCAAGGGTACTACAGTCCTGGAACTCTCTGAGATCTGGGATTAAAAGGATGTGCCACCATGCCCAGCTCAAATTTTTGTCTTAAAATGGAGCTCTGCCTCGGTCCTATCCATAATGAAAGGCTAAAGGTCCATCTTTAAGTTGATGAGAATAATTTAATTTATTTATGGTCACTAAATTCAGAAAGGATTTCTTTTGCCTAACAAAATCGCATACATTATACAGTATATTCTAATAACATCACTTTTGTTAGTAATTGAGTATGCACCAGCTCACATTAACATGATAACCAACAATTTAAGTGATATAGTGTAGGTGAGGCTGGAAAGAGATGGCTCAGCTGCTAAGAGTATGTACTGCTCTTACAGAGGACCAGAGTTTAACTCACAGCACTCATGCCAGGTGGCTCACAATTGTCCGTAGTTCCAGATCCAAAGGAATATGGTGCCTCTGCCCCCCTTGGGCACCTGCACTCATACACAAGGAAACACACAAACACAGATGAACACACACACAGAGACTAGAACAAAAAATAATTTTTAAAAAACAGAATATTAAGCTGGGCAGTGGTAGGGTACACCTTAAATGCCAGCACTCAGGAAGCAGAAGCAGGTGGGTTTCTGTGAGTTAGTGAGTTTGAGGCCAGCCTGGTCTACAAAGCAAGTTCCAGGACAGGCAGAGCTCTTACACAGAGAAACCCTGTTTCAACAACCCCAATCAACCCAAATTAAAGCAGCAAAAGAACAAAATGTAAAAGACATAGAACTGAAATGCCAATAGCAAGCACCTCTCCACACAATTATTTAAGATAAGAATTAGTTAATCTTCCCAGCACAAATGTAAAGAGTGGCTGGATTTTTAAAAACCAGAGGAAGATTTAAATAGATTCTGTCTATAAGAGGCTCACTTTAGACATACAGATACATTCAATTTGCAAAGGGCTGGCACAGCCAGAGGTCCAACCCCCAGGCCATTTGTGTGAAAAGGTATGATGGTACCTGCCTGTCATCTCAATACTAGGGGTGGAGAGACAGGATCAGAAGTTCATATAAATAGACTGGGCTGGGGTGGGGGGAAATCCACAATACCCAAAGTGGCCAACGGCTTTGACACAGTCTGCACTGAAAACTCTCATTGCCGTATTTTGCAGAAATGGAAACTTGGTTCTAAACTTTATGGGACTTCAGAGAGTACTGATGAGGCAAAGACAGAAGCCTTGTGCTTTGATTTCAAAACGTGTCACAAAGCTATAGTCAGCAATGAACTAGCAGAGACTGACCTACAGATCAATCAATGGAAAAGAATAGAAGCCTTTCGGGCAGTGGTGGCACACACTTTTATAACCCAGCGCTCAGGAGGCAGAGGCAGGCAGAACTATGAGTGCAAGACCACAGCAGCCAGGGCTATGCAGAGAAACACAATCAGGAAAAACAAAAACAACTCACATTAGTGATCCAGGGGTTTTATTATTTATTCATTTGTCTATTTGGTTGGTTGGTTTTATTTTATTTCTTTGAGACAGGGTCTCACTAGCCTCAAACTCACTGAGACTGCACAGAAGGGGCTGGGACTAAAGGTGTACATCACCACAGGGGCTGAAATTAAATATGAACATCACCACAAACAGCTTTTGTTTTCTTTTATTTGAGACACTCCTTCACTATGTAGCCCTGGATGGCCTGAACTCAAGAGATCTGCCATGTCCAACTCACAATCCAGGAATCTTAGGCAAGGAAGGATTCCATCCACACCCAACAGAAGCAAGCTGATCCCTTACCTTATAACATATACAAAACTTAACTCAATTATTCAGCTATTTTTTAAAAGTGGAAGTGGAGAGCATTACAGTCAATGAAATAAGATCCGGGAAGACAGGTATCATATGTCCTCCCTCACACACAGAATTCGAATTAAGAAAGATTTGAGAAAAGGAAAGGACAGTGAGGCCTGGCAGACAGTGCAGGAGACAGAAGCAAATATGATCAGAACAGTGGGTACATGTATGAAAGAGTCATGGTGAAACCCTCATTTATACCATTAATATTCAAGTCTAAATAACCAGCTACAAGAAAGCACGGAGGAAAACTTGGATGGCATTCATTTGACAGCAAGTTCATATAGCAATGAAACACATATAGCAGGAAACACAAGGAAAATTAGCATTTGACACATAGCCACAAGGACTGTGTAACCCATGTAACCAGCTGGGTACCAGGCAAACACTTGCAAGTCCAGTTCCAAGGGATCAGATGCCTTTTCCAGACTATGCCCCTACTCAGACCCATATACCTTCACAAACATACACAAATAAATCATGAAGAGAAAAAAATATTTAGGGCCAGGTATTTGGGAGGCAGGGGCAGATAAATCTCTGAAGTCAAAGCCATCCCAGTCTACACAATGAATTGCACAATAGCTAAGGTTATATAAAGAAACCCTGTATCAAAAAAAAAAAATTGACATTTATTTATTTATTTAGTATAGTGTTCTACATCTATGTCTGCCTCCAGGCCAGAAGAGGGCACCAGATTTCATTGCAGATGGTTGTGAGCCACCATGTGGTTGCTGGGAATTGAACTCAGGACATACAGTAGAGCAATACTGAGAAACCCTGTCTCTCCAACCCCCCTGAAAAACAATTTTTAAAGGAAGAAATTTAAATAAGTGGCAAGATGGCTCGGTGGGTAAAGTCACCTGCTGCCAAGCATGATGACCTGAGTTCAATCCCCAGGTCATGAACAGAAGAAAGAACTGACTCCTGAAAGTTGTTCTCTGGCCTCCACTCTCAGTGTGGCTGGCTGGAGTGAGCCCATGAGGACACACAACAATACTAAGAACCGTGCATCACAGAACACAATGAGCAGTTTAAAATGCAACCTACAAGCCAGGCGTTGGTGGAGCATGCCTTTAGTCACTCAAGAGGCAGAGGCAGGTGGATATTTATGAGTTTGAGGCCAGCCTGGTCTACAGAACAAGTTCCAGGACTGGTTCCAAAGCTACTGAGAAAACTTGCCTCAAAAACAAAAATGGACAGTGGTGGTATACACTAGGAAGGCAGAGACAGTTGGATCTCTTGAGTTCCAGGCCTGCCTGGTCTTGTCTACAAAATAAATTTTAGGATAGCCTGGGCAGTTACACAGAGAAACCCTGTCTCAAAAAACAAAAACAGCAAGGAAAAATGGCTACTACCATCAGGTGGTGATGGCGTACACCTTTAATCACAGCACTGGGGAAGCAGAGGCAGAGGTTCTCAGTGATATCAAAGCCAGCATGGTTTACTACTAAGTGAGTTCCATGACAGCCAGGGCTTCTCAGAGAAGCCCTGTCTCGAAAAGAAAAAAGAAAAGGTTATTACTTAGTACCAATATTCCTCAAATTATTCTACAAAATGGAGACAGAAGCATTGCCCCGTTCATTTTATGAGGCCACAATTACTGAGATTCCCAGACCACAAAGATTCAACACAGAAAGAGAATTACAGACCAATCTCCCTCATGAACATAGATGCAAAAATACTCAGTAAAATACTTGTAAACCAAATCCAAGAATACAAAAAAAGATCACCCACCATGATCAACTAGACTGCATTCCAGAGATGCAAAGATGATTCAATATATGTAATGGCCATATAAGCATTGAAAGAAATAAAAAACACATGATCTCATTAGATGCAAAAAATCCAATAGCCATTCATGATTTGGAAAAAAAAAAAAAAAAAAAAGTCAGGCAGGCATTGGTGGCACACACCTTTAATCCCAGCACTCCGGGAGGCAGAGGCAGGTGGATCTCTGAGTTCCAGGCCAGCCTGGTCTACAGATCGAGTTCCAGGACAGGCTCCAAAGCAATACTGAGGAACCCTATCTTGAAAAACCAAAAAAGTCCTGGAGAAACTAGGATACAAGGAACATACTTAAGCATAATAAAGGCAATTCACAGCAATCCAACGTCAAATTAAATCGAGAGAAACTCGAAGTAACTTCACTAAAATCAGGAGCAAGACAAAGTTGTCCATTTTCTCCACATCTATTCAATATAGTACTTGGAAGTTTTAGCTACAGCAAGAAGACATCTGAAGATCAAAGGGATACAAACTGGAAAGAAGTATAATTTGCAGATGATATGATAGTATACATAATCATAACACTAAAAATTCCACCATGGAACTCCTACAGCCAATAAACACCTTCAAAATGGCTGGATAAAAGATTAGCTCAAAAAAAATCATTAAGTAGCCCTCTTATATATACAAATAACAAACAGATGGAGAAAGAAATCAGGGAAACACCACCTTTCACAATAGCCTCAAATAATATAAAATATCTTGACGTAGTAACTCTTAACCAAGCAAATGAAAGGCTTGTATGGTTTTGAAGAAAGGAATTGAAGATAGCAGAATGGAAAGACCTTATAGGCCTGAAGAGATGGCTCAGTGGTTAAGTGATCATTTGGGAGGACCCAGGCTTAATTTCCAACATCACAGCTGTCTGTGACTCCAGGTTCAGAGGATTTGATCCTTCATACAGACAAGCATGTAAGCAAAAACACCAATGAAAATGAAATAAAAATAAAACTATAATCATAATATATTGTATGAGAAAAGAACCTATTTTCAATAAAAAATTAAATTAGGAGCTGGAGAGATGACTCAGCACTGGTTGCCCTCCCAGCACCAAATAGTGGCTCACATCTCCCTGTAACTCCAACGTCAGGCGATCTAGCACCCTCTTCTGACCTCTGAGAGCACCCAAGTGTGAACATAGTGCATATGCAGGCAAATGCTTATACACATAAAATAATAATATTCTCTAAACTGACTTAATAAACCCAAGGAACTAGAACTAGATTAGGCTTTACATATTCAAATTCACTCCAACCTTTAAGCTAACTATCCCATTCTCATGGCATTACCCACTCTGTGCGGGTGTAAGCCCCCATGATCTAATTACTTTTTTTATAGGACCCACCTCTTAGTACTAATACACTGAAGATGCTTTTTTCCAACATATTAACTTCAGGTCTGTAACCACAATACTCAGCTTCATTCAGATGACTACAATAAATATCCAGAGTGCACATTTGAGACATCCAATTGTGTAACAGATTAAAACAATAAATTTGTCATGACATAAAAGTAACTAATACAGGCCCAGCAAGATGGCTCAGTAAGGCTGCTTGACTCTGGAGATTGAACTCTTGTACATGCTAAATGCACACCTTACCACTAATACAACTCCTCAGGTCCAAATTATAATGTTTGAATTTACCCTACTTGTATGTTAAGCTGCAGGTTTAAGCGCTACAAGCTACAAGTCCATTTTATGTATGAGTGTTCAGTCTGCATGTACAGAAGAGGGCGCCAGATCTCATTACTGATGGTTGTGAGGCACCATGTGGTTGCTGGGAAGTGAACTCAGGACCTCTGGAAGAACAGCCAGTGCTCTTAACCACTGAGCCATCTCTCCTAACTGCACTACAAGTCTTTCTATTAGCATTTGGATTTTTACTTTTTCTTTTTTAACCCTATTGCCCTTTCCCCTTCCCTCTATATTTATTTTTATTTTTATTGATTTATTTTCTTTCAGGCATGGTCTCACCATGTAGCCTTGGCAAACCAGGAACTTACTAGGTAGACCTGGCTGGCCTGGAAGTCAGAGATCTGTCTGCCTCTTCCTCCCAGAATCAAGACTAAAGGTGTATACCATCACACCTAGCATTATTTTTAGAGTATTGAGGATCAAGTCTAGAGCCTTGCTAGCTAGGAAGGCACTGTGCCACCAAGTCCTATCTCACCCATTTTTTGAAGCAGGAAGGAGGCTGGGTATGATGCTTGCCTTTAATCCCATCAGGCAGTTCTTAACGAGGCCAGCCTAGTTTACATAGTGAGCTCCAGGACAGACTGGACTATGTAGAAGATCTGTCTCAACTCCCACCCCACCCCCACTAGAAAAAAAAAATCAGAAGAGTAGAATAGCCCAAAGACCCTATGTCTTGATCCAGCCCTCTTCCCTTTGTATCAGGGATTAAACCTGAGGTCTTGCTCATTGCAACCCTTCACTTTAATATGGAATGCTACTTATCTCTACCCTCCACATCTTGATCCATCACTGCCAATGGGATCTCAGTGGAATCCAAAGCATAATATTTTACCTGCAAATACTTCCATATAGACCTCTAAAATAGGAGAAACACCCTTTAATGTAACCATATGTTTATTTGTAGGTACTTGAGTCTCTGGGGAAAGTTCCACCACCAATCATTTCACCATGCAGCAGCCAGGAACGGTTACATTGTTTTGGTTATGTTGTTTAGGAGAGATGCCCCCATCCTGAGAGAGAGGGAGAGAGAGAGAGAGAGAGAGAGAGAGAGAGAGAGAGAGAGAGAGAGAGAGAGAGAGAGAGAGAGAGAAATAGCTCACATCTCTACAAACAGACAAACAAAAACCCAGATGCACCCATGCCCAACTTGTAGGCAAAATATGTCATAGGGTGAACACAGCTCAACACATCTATAGATAAATACATCAGAATGGATCAAAGAGGTTAGACATCCCTGTGTAGAGCATCAGATAAAAAGCCAGAGTTCGATCCTGTCCAAGGAACTTACCAATGGAAGACATTTGGGGAACAACCAATCCCAGACCTTGCTCTCTGCAGAAGAACTTTTTCTAGTTATAACTAAATATATAAGAAGCGGAGGTTGCCCCCTCCTCAGAAACCACCCTAAAGAACCCACCCAATCTTCAGTCAAAACAAGGCTACACCCTTGACCCAGCCCTATTCTCCACCCAGGACCACCTTAGGCAAAAAACAAAAAACAAAAAAACAAAAAAAACCCACACTCTAAATTTTTCTTTTCAAATGCATTCATTAAACACACACCGAAAGGAATCTTCATCTTGTTCTTTTTGTTATCTTTATAATGTTGCATTGTTGTATCCCCATCTACACTGGAAGGCAGTGGGGGCAGACCACCTAGAAAGCAGAGTGAGCTGAGGACCTTGAGCCGCATGCTTGCACATGCCACTAACATAGTACAGATGACAGCCCTATGAGAACACAAGTCTGGCTGGGTTACAGAGTGACCACAATTCAATAAATGATTAATGAATACTGAGAATATAGGCAATAGAGTGCCCACTGTGACATTAAAAAGGACATTATAAGACCCATATGTTCTGTAAGCATTAAATTGTTTGGCTAACTTATTCCGTTCAGTTTCTCTGGAGCTCCTGCAGCCTAGATCAGCCTCTACTCTCTATGTAGCTGAGATAACCTTGAACTCCTGATGCTCCTGTTGACTCCTCCCATCTTAACCTTAAGGCCTAACCAGGCAGTGCACCACCACTGCCCAGGTCCGACTGGAAATGTTTTTAACTGAGCAAGTTAATGGCAGGAATGGCAGAGCCCCTGCATCAGGTGAGCCCTAGACACTGCGTCCCAGCCCCTTTAGGACCTGTTTGGTGTGTATATGGAACAATGAGGTCCTACAACAAGAATTTTTTTTTTTTTTTAAGTTTTATCTTTTTCCTTCTTTTTTGAAACAGGGTCTCACTGTGTGTCCCTGACTGTCCTGGAACTCTCAATCTAGGCCAGACTGGCCTCAAATTCAGAGATCCACCTGCCTCTGCCTTCCAAATGCTGGGATTAAAGGCCTGTGCCAAGTCTGGCTATGGAGTATTTTATTTTACTGAGTCATTCTACTCAAAAAACAAAAAGTAGGGTAAAACTATGCTTCTTCTCACATTTGTTTTCTTCCCCAGGTCTGTTCTTTGCTGTTGTTTCCTGTCATCATCTTGATTCCCCACTTAGGGGTGATTTGCCCTGTCCCTCCTCCCTCAAGCTGCTTCCAAGAAATACCGGGAGCTGAAACCCTCTGTGCCTGGTTTCTTATCATTTCTTCAGTTTCTGTCTGTCCCTCCTCTCTCACCCCATTATTTAGACATCACTGGCAAACAAAAGAAACAAACAAAAAACGCTCATTGCCCCTATTGTTTTGTATCATCACTTTTTTTTTTCTTAAACTAAAACAAAATTAAATGGAGTGGGAAAGATGGTTCATAGGTAATGGTACCTGCTACCAAACCTGGTGGCCTGGTTTCAGTCTCTGGAACCCACATAGTAGTAGTAGTAGAAGCCAAATTCCCACAAGCTGTCTTCTGATTTACACACCCACACCCTTTAGAGCTCACACAAAGTAAAAAAAAAAAAAAAAAAGTATGTAATCAATGAGTTTCATTGTTTTTATTATGCCCAGTCCACAAGACCCCCACTCTGAGCCTAATGAAATTGCAAGGTTTCTTTTGGTTTTTCAAGACACGGTTTCTTTGTGTCTTTGGAGCCTATCCTGGAACTAGCTCTTGTAGACCAGGCTGGTCTCCAATTCACAAAGATCTGCCTATCTCTGCTTCCCAGTGCTGGGATTAGGCATGCACACCCACCACCCAGCTAATTACAAGGTTTCTTTATTGAATTCAAGTTTAGGCAGCTGCAGGAGGTCTGGTGCCTCACCAGCAAGGGGTTTATATAGACAAAAACCATAGGATAGGTGAGGTTTACCGGTTTAAAGCTGATTGGTGTCTAGAGGAGCTTGGGGAGTTTGGGGAGTTTCCATTGATTTATCTCTGGCATCATATGTGCCCATAAATGTTGTTTTTGCAACCCTGCTAATTGGCTAACCGGGAGTCAGGGCTCTTAGTGGTTGTTTTTCCTGACCGCCTGCTTTCCTTGAACCAGCTACACAGGTCATGGGGTGAGGTTCCCATATTCTGTTTCCTGCCCTCTTTTCTAAAATGACCCTAGTTTGGTCTCTCAGTTTTGTGATGGTAAAAGTTTACCTTAAATGGGGCTAGACATGGTGGCACATACCCTTAATCCCAGCACTCAGGAGGCAGAGGCAGGTGGATCTCTATGAATCAGAGGCCAGCCTAGTTATCTGTAATGAGTTCCACACCTACAGAGTTCCAGGACTATACAGTAAAAATCTATCAAAAAAAAAAAAAAAAAAAGTTAAGTTTAAATGTCCAGAACTATGCTTAGCCCTCAATTCCATCTACTTCAAAACTGTGCCATTTTCTTTCCTCAAGACAAAATAAACATGAATGTGTCCAATAAAGACGCAACACATACAACTCAGTGATTTGGCAGAATGGCTTTTTTCTGAGATGTATTGTAATTATGTCTGTATGTCTATGGGCGGATGTGTGTATGTCAATACAGGTATCCTCAAAAGCCAGAGGCCTCAGAGCCTGTGGATGGAGTTCCAGGCAGCTGGTTGTGAGCCTACTGGCATGGGGTGCTGAGAACCAAACCCAGGTCCCCCTGCATTAGAAGCTTTTCTCTGTGGCCCCCAGAATGATGCTCACCCCACTCAGAATGTTGAGGAGAGCATTTAATGCCAATTGTCTTTTGAGTTTGATTTCTCCAAACTAGATTTTAGCCCCTTGCTTCTTTCTCACACATGACATTGAGTTCACACAAGTGTAGCAACAGCAAGGGCACAGCTCACACTGAGTTTTCACTCTCCACCTACAGTGAGCACTTCCCAAACAGGTTTTGAAAACCCAAATGTCTGAATGCCCTCTAGGCCAAAATCCTTCACAAGAATTGGCACTCAGTTTACACAAGACCTTGGGTTCAATTTCCTGAACAAACAAACAAAAATTTAAATGGAAAGGAGACCTAATGAACATTAGTAATCATTATTCAGATTTGAAGGCTGGCTTTGTACATGACACAGTCAGTTCCCCCTCCTGTCCCTAGCTCCACACCCTATGCATTTCTCTGGCATTTCATTAATTCAGTGACCTGGAGACACTTCTGTTTGCAATCCCTGAAAAAGTCTCCTATTATTAATGCAGAAAGTGGGGCTGGAGATGGAGCTCCAAGTGTGCTCACCTAACTTGCACAATGCCCTCAGTTTGGCCCTTGTTCCCTAATACCACAGAATGAGCTCAGTGTAGCTGCTGTTTCTTGCCTGCAATCCCAGAAGCCAGGTAGAAAGAAGCAGAAATAGCAGGAATTCAACTTCATTCTCAGGCTACACTGTGAGTTTATGGCAAACCTGGGCAACATGATACCCTGCCTCAAAAAATAAAAAGCATAAAATAGGGTTAGGCATGGTGAGTCACACCTATAATCCCAGCACCTGTGTACCCGAGGCAGGAGGATCACCATGAACTCCATGCCACTCTTTCTCAAACATAAAAGAATGTAAAGTGGCTATGTCTGTTAGGCAACAGTTATCCTGTCTCCAATACACTCTTAGTAATTGTATGACTAACTTGAGAACATGATGACTACATTTGTCTTGTTCACAGATGCCAGCATTACACCTCACACTGTATGGTTCCTTCTATTCAGAATAATTGAGAACTACAACGGCCTCCCCTCCATTCCTCCCACTGCCATGTTAATCTGTCCTTTTTCTTTGACTCCAGTCAGTGCAACCACTCAATTTCTTTCTTTAAGGTCTATTATTTTATTCTATTTTGTTCTATAAAGGTGATTATTAAATGTGTGTATATGTTGAGAGGGGGACTATGCATTTGAGTGCAGATGCCCATGGATGCCAGAGGCCTCCGATGCCCTGGAGCTGGAGCTACAGGCAGTGTGAGCTGCCCAAAGTGGGTTCTGGATCCTCTGCAAAAGCAGCGAATGCTCTTAACTGCTGAGTCATCTCTCCAGCCCTCTCTACATCACACATTTTCAATCCCCTAATGTAAAAATTCAAATGCAAGCAAGCACACCATCACTAACTCACCTTAGCTAAGGGATCCAAAATCCCCCAGTTTAGTACCAACCCCCATTCATGACCAGGTTCCTTCCAGCTCTGTCCTATTATTCAATTAAAGCTCCTTCCAGCCTAAAGAAACCCTCAAGCTATGCGCTCTCCCTCCTTCTCTCCCTCTCTCTGTCAACTCCATTTATCTTTTTAAAAGTTGTTTAGATTCCCTCATCCTATAATCTTGGAATGGGGAAAAGGAGAGGTTGAAGAGCATTGTGGAAGAGCATTTCTCTTAGTGGAAACTGAGTCAAAACATAACTCCAAAGAACAGTTGTCACATAGAACCCAGGTTACCCACATCCTGAGCTCATGTTCTTTGAAGAACTGCACTGAAGCCTCTACAGCTCCATTTGAACTTCCTTGTTTTGGATCTGTGGTCTGCTACAGATGGAGACCCAAAATTATCTTGTGCTATTTTTATTCTCCTTAATAGTCATTTATATTAGTCATGGTGTTGCATGCCTTTAATTCCAGAACCCTAGAAGTAGAGGCAGGCAGGTGGATGTCTGTAAATTCAGTGTCAGACAAGGCTATGTAGTAAGTAAGATGCTGTCTTCAGGGCTGAAGAGATGGCTCAGAGGTTAAGGCACTTGCTTGTAGAGGACCAAGTTCAGTTCCCAGCACCAATGTTGGGATCTTACAATAGCTTGTAAGGGATTCAACACCCTCTCTGGCCTCCTTGAGCAACTTCATTCATGGGGTACACGCTCACACACATAAATAAAAGTATTAAAAAAAAAAAGACACTGTCTTCAAAAAAAAAAAAAAAAAAAAAAAAAGACATAATAGCCACTTACTACTTACCTCTGTAACTGACCTGGTATCTTTGTGATTATTAGTTAAAACACTTCCAGAATACATTTTTTTTTTTTTAAGTTTTAGTACTTTGCCCACATGTATGTCTGCAGGCCATATTCATACCTGGTGCCCTCTAAGATCAGAACAAGAAATTGAATCTCCTGGTACTGGAATTACAGATGGTTGTAAGCAGCCACGTGAAGGCTGGGACTGGAACTGGGGTCCTCCAAAGAGTGGCAAGTACCCTTAACTACTGAACCATTTCTCTAGCGCCTTCCCCCAATGTTGTGTTAAAGTTAGCAAATGCCTGGGTTCCATCAACCCTACAGCTAAATACTATAACATCTGAGACCTAGAGGAAAGATTTCTCTACCTGATGTCCCCACCCATATATTTGGGTAAATACATGGATTTTTGAGTTTCTTTGG